AGTTTCTGAACCATTAAGTAGAAGTGACTGACTGACTTCTTATTTGTGTTGAACAGAATTTGAATCTTGTTGTTTATGGCGGATGGGTGAGTGCAGTGCAGAAGATTCTCAAACTGCTTTCAGGTTGATGAAGGCATATGTTGCCTTTTGGGATTCTGGATAGCTGCCTGGTCTTGACATCTTCATCCGTTCCATCGCCTGTGGTTGAAACCGTGCTTCCTGACCAGATCAAATGAAGGAATTAACCTCTGTGAAATATTTCTCGTTGATTGTGATTGGTGATAGTTGTTGTTGTTCCTGTTACTGTTAGTTGGTTTGTCATCTTCATCACCTTCATCTTCTCTCTGTTCACCTGGAGTCCCATCTTCGCCTAGTTTACGAACACGCTAGTAGTTTTCTAGCCGGTCATAAGCCCGGGTGAAGGAGGAGGGTTGGGTGTGGAGCTAGCGACCCTACACCACAAAACCAATCAAACTGCTACAGAAACTTCAACGCACCATTCACATATACCTATGATATAACCAGTATGAGCATGGATTAGAACAGTTCAAAGGGATTTAGTAAAACAACCAAAACATTGTGGTCTGAATGTAGTAAGTCAATCTTTGCTTTCTACTGTATAGCTGGCCACAACTTATTTGATTTAAGTGCAGTACAAGAGTGTCACGACAATAGTAAAAAGGCAGTTATCTCTGATAAAATTAGCATTACTCTTAAACTATAATAATAAGATATCAGGTGGTCGAAATCACTTCGGCAATACCGTTGGACAACTTTACATAGCAATAACTTTCTAAATTACAAACTAATTACCGTAGAACAAAGTTATTTAACCAAATCAACTGTAAGAAGTTCTCGAGAATCACGAGGAATATTCCTTACATGGTGAGATCAAAACTGTATCAGCCAGAATCATACTTCAAACAACTCTAGGAGATAATCCATGATTAGAATGACTTTCATTCACACAAAAGAAGTCACTGTCGTAAAACAAAAGATTATCAATATGATCACGTAACCCCAAAGAGAAGTAGTAAAATCAGAGACTAAATAGAGGCAAAGACAAACAATAAGGATCAAGCCAACGCATAATATGCTAATGTCAGAAAAAAGATATACAGTCTAGACGAAAGTAGGATAATAATTACAAAGTTAGTTGAGATATCCAAATAAGTTCATTCAATAGGTATTTTCCAAACGACTTTTCGGTTACATTTAGCGCTGCAGAATTTGATGCCGCAGTATTTAAAAAAGCATTTAAAGCGCAACAGCCTTCTGAAGTGTGTTTAGCGTTGTCACTAGAATATTCTTTATGCCTCAGCTCTTTACTTTAAAATGCTAGGCTAAAGTAAATTTTAAGGTTTAAACTGAATTGTTCATCAGTAGACTAATAATGGAATGCTGTACAGCTATACAGGACGTCTAGTTTCCATTCCTGCCCTACACCACGCGTAGTTGGCAGTAAATCCACAAAAGACGGTAAGTTATGAAGGAGGCTAGCAGCCCCTTTCCACTTTATAAAAAACAGTTCCATTGACAGCTAAACTTCAAAGCTTGAGTCCTTATATTCCACATGGAATGCAATAAATGAAAGTTAAGCTATTGAATTGAATTTTTGATTTTCCCGTCGATTGATTGGACCGAAGTGCTCGGTCTCAGGTTGACATGTCGGCTTCTTGTGCAGATGCTTCGACGATGTCCGGGCGTTTAATTAGCATAGAATTGGTGGATGGTGGCTAGCAGTGGAATCCACATGTCAACCTGAGACCGAGCACTTCGGTCCAATCAATCGACGGGAAAATCAAAAATTCAATTCAATAATTAATATGACCCGTTGCACAAGAGGTGGCTCTCGTGGCCCAAGTGGTCTAGTGGATAACGCTTTGGCGTTTGAAACTATGGGTACTGGGTTCGAGCCTCGGTGGGAACATCATCACTCACTGAGAAATGCAGGTACATCCAGATGACGAGTCCCAAATAGGACGAAATGTGCATCCTGGATTCCACTGCTAGCCACCATCCACCAATCCTATGAAAGTTAAGCTGTTTACAATTGTGAAAAATATGGAAAAAAAGTCAGATGTTTGATTATTAACTTTGATATAGTTCTGTTAATCAATGTAACCCACTTATTTTATACTCATATTGTCACTTTAACTGGTGAGGCTAAGCTTTTTTGGCTAGAAATTTTCCTTCAAACGTGACTTTTTCAATACACATCAGGCAGACTGAAACCCTACTGAAACGTGCTTTTCTCCGCTGGATATTTTGTTAAATTAACAGTATTTCTAAAACCAAAAGACTGTTGAACTATATTGCATAATATGTGATGACAAATCTGTCCGTAAAAGACACAGAAACCGAAAAAACAATCATGATGAGACAAAGGAGGTTACGTTTAGACAGCTACAGTCACACTGAATGTGTTGCTATCAGAATGTCATCATCAGTATCTAAATTTCTCATTTGGTAAGAATCAATCTCTTTCAGAATAATAACAGCAAGATTCGACTCGAAAGAGGGAAACGTCACAATAATACAATACAACGCTCTCTAATCGACAAAACAAATTGACAATGCGGTTAACAAATCAATAATCTATTGTCCAGCAAATCTTCGGAAAGAGATTACGACAGAATGGATATATTTTAGAATGATTGGAAGCCACAAGTTGGACATGAGTCCAAGATTGACATGAAGGTGATCAGGCAGAGTCGAAATTAAAGCTTTGCGCGATGATGAAACCAGCTGAAAATACCACAGGGAACGCAATACCATAGATGTGTGCTAGTAAAGGTATCTATTCAGCTGGAGACTAAGAGGAAGAATAATAAATTGGCAGTCAGTAGTTGTTCCCCTACTTTAGACCATGAAATTAATGATGTATTAATCATGAATCGCAATTTGCAGTTTAATTGTTTCGGGACAAATGGATCATCCTTGAGTTTGAGTGAACTCTGTAACTCTCTGCTTGAACGCATCAGTTGTATAACATAGAATTAATGATCTAAGTTATTTCTTCCGGATAATTTGGTTTTAACTTATAGGAATGACGGCAGTGATGAAACTTCGGTCTGTGTATTTGTGATACAAGTTTACTGACTGGTATTCCAATAGATAAGTAATTTCCATAAATTATAGCAATGTATTATATTCAAAAGTCACATGAAATAAAAGGTCCATTACCCGAAGCATGGCATTATCAACAATAGGAAGTGCTAATCACCCGTGCACTAAAAACTTCACTCATTATTTCACTGAGTGTTATTGAAATATATTACCGGCGCTTACTATTATTTTCTTTGCTTGCGAATGATACATAGGGCTTCAACAACACATCCCCATTTTGCCTTTTTGTCCGTAGTCTTCTTCAGCCGGCCATACGATTGCCAATACGGTTTCGTCTCCTCCATACACACACACACATTCTCAATCATGTTATCCTCAGATACACGCCCAAATTATCGTTTTTCATTCGTATCTCCCATGGAGCAACGGTTTGATGAACAATCTCACCCAGAGGTCTCCTCGGCGTGTGTCCGATCCATCTTCATTTTCTTCGAGGAATTTTGTTGAGCAACGCGTTCTCGATCGCTTTATCTGTAATGTTTCTTATTGCTTATTCTTTCTGGGCTGGCCATCCGATCTTCAGTTTGCATCGAACGCAGATGTAGCGAAAAAATTCTGAAGTCTGTTAGAAATGCTCTACGCGACACGCCAATTTTGTGGCCCATATACAAAAAGTGATATAACATTGATGTTGAAAATTCGAATTTTCTCCTAATGCTGAGTCCACAAGATTTCTAGACTAATAATAGTGTGATGAATGTTTGTCGTGCCTCTTCAATCCTCGTTTTGACATCCTCATCTATGCTAACTGTAGCGTGAGGTTACCTTCATAATATTTTCAAGGCTTTAAATCCATGTGATACATTAAAAAGTTTGTCATCTGTGAATTCCATCTTTGAGAAGCAGCAAACTGATCATTCGGTGTTTAGATCGCTTTAATCTCGCTGTTTGACTTAAATATCATGCGACTAATCAGCTGAGTTAGTAGGTATATGTGGTGTGTGTAATGCGTTTAATAAAAAGTGTCTGTATGTACGACACATTAAGAGAATGAAACACGACTACACTAAATCTTTCTTATTTGTTTATTTTTCATAGTTCATACTAACGTGAAGACATTGCCACTGAATTAGTTAGATATGCATGAAAGCTTCTCGCTGTGAAACATCATTGTATGTCCTGATTGATAAATGCTACTTTGAAGTGGTAGTAGTAGTAGTAGTAGTCAACGACCCAATAAACTACGCTGGTTGAAATGGATGCTTCTGAAGGTCCTTTGTGTTAGATAGGCCGCTTAAATGGCGTTTGCATTGAAAGCAGTTGCTACTATGGTGTTTTCAGTATGTTGACGTTCATAGGTCAAAGGCAAACCACTGCTAAATAAGGCTGAGACAGAAAGGCGCACTGCTTCTGCTCTCTGAGATTCTTCGAAACACTTGACCTCAAGAAGCTGACATCCAGATTCATTCCAGGGTGGTCTGGTGGTAAGTTCTTCATAAGGAGACAGTTCCAAAAATTACCTCAGACAAACGTTCTGTTTGACCGCATTTCCCTCTAGGCGCTGTGATCACGTATCACTAGCGCTGTTCTTATGTCAGGTAATTCTAGAAGAAATCAACTCCAATCATGTTGAGATCCAAGGAGTAAGGATCACTTCAAAATGGTCAGTAAATTGAATTGGATGACTTATTACATAGTTTTGTACGATTACATGACTTCCGGTTATACAGAAATCAATTCCAATTTTCAATTGACCCGTTAATAGTTTTCACATTCATATTTGGCTTATTAATTTAAACTTCAATTTACAGGCATCACTGATGATCAGAACAGTAGGTGTTTAATTACTACATTTTAGGCTAATTTTATGTCTCTTTTCTCTCCTCTGCTTTTCTCCTCCGCAACGCCCGTCCCGCCCGTCCCAACTTCAGCTTCTGGCAGTTTTTTGTGTACTGTACCAACAGCGGAAAAGTGCTATGAATTATGTCAACAACATGGATGCACTGATTGGCCATTTCATATACCAGTTTCACCCGCTGATAGAATACCTCGAGATAATTATCGTTGTCGATGTTTTGAAGAATATAAAACATGCTTATATAATCCATTATCAAGAAGACAGATTATCATTGATTGAGATATACACAAAACTCAAACCAAAAAAAGAAAAACAAAACAAAAAGATTTAACAAAAGTATCTTATAATTCACTCAAAAATCATGCGTATACACTTAGAAATACGTTCTTAATTGAACAGTTAATTTAATCAACTGAGATTTATCACAGTAGTCAGTGTTATTAAACAAAGGCAAAAACAAGTGATATCATTTGCAATTCTGATTTAACAAAACAAAAACACATCATTAAGGAAAACATTAACTGACAAAATATTTAGTGCAATAATATGTAATCATTCAGTTCATTTGAGCATTTATCCATCTTTAATTGATTCGTAGATTTACTTAATTCAATAAATAAATGAATAAATATTTCTGATTGATTGGTCTTGTTTACGTTTCACTGCTTCGCTTCCCCTTGTCTACTGTAGTATATCGCTATGATATTAGAATGATACTTGATACTTGATAACAATAGTATTATTGTTATTTTCTTGGATTCTACTTGAAACATAGGCCTTCAACAGCATATCTCTGTTTGTCCTCTTCAGCTAGCCCTTACGGTTGCCTATCAGCTTTCATCTCCTAAAATGGTTTCCTCGATGTCATCTTTGGACGCCCAACTTGTCGATTTTCATTCGGGTTCCACTTGAGTGGGTGGGGGATAAATGACGCCAACGAACAGCCTTCTAAGTGTGTGTCCGATGCATTTCCGACTTCTCCTTGGGGATATTTATTGAGCGATAGTTCGTTAATTGGCGTAAGTAGTTGGAAGCCGTTGGCATCAAGCAGTGGTGTTTGCTAGTCAGGTTGATGTGATCTAGTCGCCGGATGGTCGTTTCCTTCATTCAGCACGGTAATATTTAGACTGTATGACGCCGTAATTGGTAATCGATCTGGCTGGTAAGTACTAGTGTTTGATGTTAACGGTTTCTCACTGCACGCACCAATTAGACAGTATTATATAGAATCACTCTATTTCACTTGATTTCACGATTGCTATTTATAATACCCAGCAGATCATATATTTTCTCATCTGAATAATTTTTGGTTTCTGAGGAGAACTGGCGATTACTAATTTTGAACTGTGTAATTGACAGAGAGAGGATTTGATTCGATGTTCAGTCAAGTCACTAGCATATACGATGAGACAGTTATTTGGACTCTGTACCTAGGGGCCTTTTGTTAAATAAGCTATCGTTGACACAAACAGGATCATGGGCAAAGAGTTGGTTGCATTCCTATTTTTCTGATAGAATGCAGTATACTGTATATAACGGCAAATATTCTTCTACCTCGCTTACAAAATCCGGTGTTCCACAAGGTGCTGTACTCTCTCCTTTTCTTTTTTCTCTCTTCCTACATGACCTACCTCATTCAAACGAAACTAACTTTGTTAAATATGCATATGATCTGACTGTATCACTGCCTATCACTTCCGAGTCTGACAGCTCCAAACTTAATAGCTTTCTGTTGGACATCAACAACTGGTCCAAGTCAAATGGTCTTATATTAAATCCTTCCAAATATCAGGTGCTTGACTTTACTTTCAAGCATCGACGTGACTTACTTGAACTAGTTAACTCTCATGATCCCTGTAGCATAGATGGCACGGAAATTGAAACCAAATCAAGCATTAAATACCTTGGACTAGTTTTTTCCTCTGACCTTTCATGGTCATCCCATATCTTATCTATCTCTAAGAAAATGTTTCGTCTTACCTTCTACATTAAAAAGTTAAGACAATCAGGTATCAACCAACCTTTAGTTTTGCAATTTTTAAACTCCTGTATTTTACCTATTGTACTCTACTGCTCTCCATTAATCTTTCCTGGGCTGGTCAAAAAAGATTATATCATATTACGAAGAGTATTAAATGCTGTGAGTAGAGCTTGTGGTCTGTCATTGCATGAGCTCGCTAATACTATAGTCGAGAGGCATATAAATTCCTGTACGAAATGGGCAAAGGCTATAATGTCAGACCCTCTGCACCCTCTTTATTCACACCTGTCCCCTTGTATCTCATCAGTTAGGACGAGAAGTCAATATAAAAAGATATATGCTCGTACTACTAAGTATAGAAATTCTACAATACCCTATTTAGCGCGTACTTTATGCGACGAAGACTCTGTTAGACGTGAAACTTACAAGTTACTATGTAATTAGCACAGTGAATCTACCCTTTTATCGTTCATCTTTCTGTATTTTATGGTGTCACACTTTCTATCGTTTAAATCGTTACTCTGCTATTTTATTTTGGTTGGTGTTACTATTATTACTACAATTTTGTACTTTATACGTATTTTTCTCCGTATGGCACACAGTATTTTGCTACGTAGCTGCTACAAAAATCGTTTTATTACTATTATGTATTGTGTATTTTTAATTTTTTTTTGTTTTTTGTCGTTTTTGGGTAAATTAGATGCAATATTGTACTGAAATGCTGAAAATTCCTTGCTGTATCATGCGTACTGTTTTTGGAATAAAGCAATTATTTTTATTATTATTATTCGAGAGTTTCAAGTAGCATTTATGACTCAGTGATTTTTTTACTGATGCTTACCAAACTACTGGTGTCATTTATGAGTACGACATTGGGAAATCAAAATCCAATGGTTCTCTAACTAATGTCAGCTCGTGATGAAATCCTGAAACCAATCAAATCCCTACAAACCAACACTTGAATACCAATGAGATGCTCACTGACGACTGGCCCTATTCAGGTAGGTAGTTACCTGGGTTCCAGTGGGAAGTCGTGACCAGTGGGGTGCAGCTGGTCGGGTGTGAGGACAAATACTCGCCGAAGACATTGGCTAGCGGTCGCGCTATGTCGTGAATTGGCAGAAGTTAGAATTCAAGGACCATTGGATCGGGTCCCAGTGGCTTAATGGTACACGAGCTCGCCTTGTAACCGGAAGATCCTGGGTTCGAATCCCGGTGGTTGCGTACTGATGAAGAATCCCAAACCAGGACGAAACAGCTGTCCAGTACTCCCAGGTTTTCCAATGGTTCTCTAACTAATGTCAGCTCGTGATGAAATCCTGAAACAAATCAAAACTAATTAACTGCTTAGTTATACTAAGTGCTGTTGAACGAAAGTAAATCGAATTCTCACTAAACTATTGGAACGTTATCTACGATAGCAAGAGCATTCCAGATATACTTAAAGTCTTTTTAACAGAAAAGGCACTAGTGATACTTGGTTAGAATTATTATTATTCCCCCGGGTTCCAAATGGAACATGCGTCTTCAACAACAAATCTACACTGTCTTCTATCTTCATTTGTCCTCTTCAGCTGCCTAGCCATATGATTGCTCATATTTTCTCATCTCCTTCTCCGGTTCACATGATCTCCTCCATGTTACCCTAGCATCGATGGCCCACTCATCGCTTCCCATTGGGATTCCGCTCGAATAATTCCCCGCATTGCGCGCGATATCATTCGACGTTCTCCTGAGTTTATGGCAGATCCATCTCCATTTTACTCCTAAATATTTGTTGACTAATCGGCTCTCTCCTGTTGATTTATTACCAGCCAGCCAAAGTTACTTCATGCTAATCCTTTTTGTGCAGCTATCTGATCTTCAGTATGTAACCAGCCGGAGGATGTGGCAGCCGATGATAAAGGTTAGCAGCAGCATGTTAGAAATACTTTTCGTGACACACTGGTAAAGTTTCTGACCCATTAAAAGAAGAAGTGATTGACTTCACATCTGTGTTCAAGAGAATCCGAATCTTGTTGTTTATGCTGGCTGGCTGAGTGCAGTGCAGATGATTTCGAGATTGGTTTCAGGTCGATGAAGGCGTGCGTATCTTGCTTGTCTGATTCTGCCTGGCTTCCCGGCTTTGACATCTTCATCTGTTCCTGGCTGTCTGTAGTTGAAACAATGCTTCCTAGACAAATGAATGAGGAAACCTATGTTAAATATCTTTCGCTGAGGGTGATTAGCGCTGATTGTTGTTGTTGCTGCTGTTGGTTGGTTATCTTCACCACCCCCATCTTCTCTATGTCCACCTGGAGACTTGTCTTCGCTGCCTACTTCTTCTACCAATTTGTTGGTTTCCGCCAGCAAGTCTTCGAGTTTTTGTGACACTAAACATAAATCATTCACGCGCGAAATCTAGATCTTCTAGAGTCTTATTTTCGGTCCAACATATTCCTGTCTTCTCACTGCCATGCATAGTGTGACGCATGATCCAGTCCACCACGGTTAGGAATATGGTCGGTGACAATAGGCGGGTAACCCTGTCTTACTCCTGTATGCACTTTGAACGCCTCACTGAGCTTCCCGTTGTAGATAACCTCACACGTGACGTTATCATATAGCTGTTGAATGAGGTTGATAAAGATTTGGGCAATGCACACGGCAGTGTTGAAGCAGTTTTCAAACTACTTCTCAGTCATCGTTGTCTGTCCAAGGCCTTTTCGAAGTTGGTGAAGTTAAGGTACAGCTTTGACTGTCATTCTATGCTTCGTTCAATGGTGAAGATGCCTAGAGTTGTAATTTGATCAGCACTTGATTTGCCTTTCCTGAATTCAGCTAATTCTGGGAGTGGGTTGGGATGGATTTTTGCATCCAGTACATTTCCTATTCTCTCCTCGATGACGTAACTGAATATTTTACTTGGCCTGGACAAGAGCATAACTCTACGCCAGCCAGTTCTTGCAGAGATGCAAGTCGCCCTTCTTTGGCAGCTTGACAAGGTGGCCAGCCTTTCTTCCAATCGGTAGGTACCTTTCTTCCTCCCCAAAACTTTTGTAATAACGGTATGAGAACACATGCTACAGTCGCTGAGTCCGACTGCAGTGCTTCGGAGGGAATCCCTCCTAGTCCTGCTGCCTACTCGGCCGGCGATCAGTAGCTTGATCACACTCAAGATTTTTGCTTTTGTTGGTAGATCGGTGTCCACCGGCTGTTCTCTGCGCGCTAATGGTGGCTGCACGTGATGATGGTCGATTCACGTGTCCTCTCAAGTGATCAGGCTCCTTCGTAATCAGATTCCCTTGAGCATCTTTTC